TGGATCAAAAGATCCATCATTGGCGTCCTGTGGAATAAATTTAAAAAATACTTATTACAGATTGTAAGCTGCAAAAAACAAATTCCAGTTTTTTCATTTCCAGCGGCTGTAAAAATAAGGGAAGCTGGAGCATCCTCACTCCTTGAATGTTAAACGGGGACTTTGTTATTGTCTCATTACAGGCTTCATAAAGACAACAATCACACACACAATCAGCAAATGCAAACTTGCATTGTTCAGTAAAAACTTGCTTTCAAAAAGAAATAAAATCAGCAAAGAAAACATGCTTTGTGTACAGTGCCACTCACAATGCACAAACTTCCAAAGCAAATAACTCTGCACATTTTAGACTTGGAAAATCCCGCAATGTCTTAAATTAAAGCTAAAGATGTTCTCCAACTTTTCTTTAATCATATAAAAATTGATCTGACAAACAGATATTGAGCTATACTTAATATCTGTTTGATTTATGCTGTTGGCGGTTGACACCTGGATCAAAAGATCCATCATTGGGGTCCTGTGGAATACATTTTAAAAAAATCAATACTTCTTACAGATTGTAAGCCGCAAAAAACAAATTCCAAATAAAAGAGACATCTGAGTGCTGACTGCTGAGGCAGTTACCCAGCCTCCAAGGGAATTTGATTTAAAGAGCAAATTTACATTTATGGCTGCAAAAATGAGGGAAGCTGGAGCATCCTCACTCCTTGAATGTTAAACGGGGACTTTGTTATTGTCTCATTACAGGCTTCATAATGACAACAGTCACACACACAATCAGCAAATGCAAACTTGCATTGTGCAGTAATAACTTGCTTCAAAAAGAAATAAAATCAGCAAAGAAAACATGCTTTGTGTACAGTGCCACTCACAATGCACGAACTTCCAAAGCAAATAAATCTGCACATTTTAGACTTGGAAAATCCCGCAATGTCTTAAATTAAAGCTAAAGATGTTCTCCAACTTTTCTTTAATCATATAAAAATTGATCTGACAAACAGATCTTGAGATATTCTTACTTTTCTAAACCTAACTTTTCTTTGGTGATAAAAATCTGGATAACCTTCATGCCGGATTCTTATCTCACTGATGCACAAGCTTCTGGTGCAAACATTGACTTCAAAAGCCTTGTTCCTAAATGTATGAATGTATATATTTCTGCAACAGATACTGTACTGTGCAATACAGTACCATATTGAGCATATTCAATTGAGTGCCAGGCGCACTTTTTCTCTCAAGGGGTGCGCATCATAGGCAGGTAGACATTTTTCAAGAAGTTTTAGAAATTTAGGTTTGCACTATACTCGATTCTAAAGGAAAATTTTAGAATAATTCTGACAAGAAACTTATTTTAGTGGGAGAAAATTTAAAATGAGTCAAATTCATGCTCAATTCAAGTCAATGTTAAAATTTGGGACTTTTTATTTTTGAAATATCGTGGTTTTGGAGTCACTGAAGTGGAGTGCGCGTCTTACTTGGGGTTCTGAATCCATCAAAATTTTCAACTGAAAAACACCAGCGTGTCTTACTTCAGGGTGCATCGTACTGGAGTAAAATATGGGTAGTTCTCTTTTTTCTCACTTACAGTAAGAATAAAATACCGTACTTCCTTGAGTACAACGAGCCCTTCTGTAAGTTTTTCGCAAAAAAATCTGTTTTTTCGCAAAAAAAATCGCCCAAAAATTTATGAAGGACTCGCACCCCAGTTTTACATGGTTGAAAATCAAAATAAAAAGATAATTTTGAACAAAATAATCCCATTAGTAAATACATGTGGACTCTCTCTCTCTGTCTATCTATTGTATACTCATTTTGTCTACTTTTTTTTTTACTTCAAGAAGAATTTTTAGTGGTCCCTTCAGGTCCTCTTCCCATGTCGTAGGGGTTCTATACAAAATTTCCAGTTTCGCGAATTATGTTGCTGAGAAAGTTCAACTCTGTATTAACAGAGAGAAATTTAACAGGATTCGTGCAGAATTCCATGTTCATTATTTGCACTAACAAAGAATCACTTGTGGATCCCAGCATCATTTTCACAATGCTTTGCTTCAAAAAATGTATACCACCATACCACTTGCACCCCACTTTCCTGCCTTGATTTTTCAGAGAAAAGAAAGGTACAGTACTTGAACAAATACTGTACATTATCTGCACAATAATAAATCCTACTTTCAAATAACCCCGCAATGCTTCTCTCTTAATGTGCTCATCCGTGGTGCAAAGGATAATCTCAATTCAGTTCTTTCATAAATTAGGTTTTAAATACAGAAACACCTCTTTATTACGAATAAATGCTTACAACGAATGTTTTATCGGTCCACGTAAAATAACCACAATGCCATTTCAACTTCGTTTTAACGATTGTTCGTTTGTAATGACTTTTTTAAGGTCACAAACGCTTCGTTGTAACAGTCTACTATATTGTACACTAGGTCTGCAGTGCGCCACTTGAGTTACGCTGTCGCGTTTTTTTCTATTAAAAAGATTATCCTGCTGGAGTTATCTTACAATAAAAATAATATAATAATTTTATAGTACAGTATTGTGTATTTCCAAGACTAGAATATCTTGTCCAGATTCCCAATAAACGAACTGAGGAAACTACGAATGGTCGAACGTCATGTGGACTAAAATCATGAATACTTCAAACCTCGTATTTCCACAAACTAAAGAGCCAGTCGCTCATGAACGTAATAAAATTTAGAATTTAATGGCTCATAATTCAAAATACCTTTCGCATGTACAGTAATGACTGCGTTTTTTTTTTTACACATTCGTCAGAAGAGGGGCTTGCAAATCACGAAAAGAATACTGTCCCGGACTTTTATAAACAATTCATCTCTGAAATAAACATATTAGTTCGGAGTTGAGTTATTCTGAATCAGTTGCAGTAAAGCATCCCGCTTTTTCTTACAGTGTTAGGCTAGTTATATTTTTACCATTATTCGGACAAATTAATACTGAATTACGAAATGCCAGGTAATTGGACAACGGCAGTCAATAGTTTATTAGTACTGTACATACTAACCTAGTAACCTTAGGTTTTGTGCAAGATTGACTACGTTAGATTGACTTTCTAAATTTACGTGATACATCAAGCGAAAAGAAAAAATAAGTCTCACAAGCTAGACGGAATACGAGGAAGTTAAGTACAGTACATCATCCATTTCCTGTCACTTCAAAAACTGATTCAGGATACATTGTATTGCTTTCTTTTCCAGCCCTTAGAAATGCTCTACTCAAAACAAAAACCAACCGCCATCACAGTGCACTTGAAATAGGTGATTTGAATTTTTACTGGAGGCGGAGAAGTAAGAAATTGAAAGCACTAAAGAATTAAATCTTGGGAGAGATTACTTGGAACCGCAAACCGCAGCGGAACACACCGTGGTTCGTTGAATATGAAACTACCTTTTCGTCTCCCGAGGGAAAAAAAATAATGCAGTTCAAAAATTTCATGTTTCAGTGTTCGTCAGCGCCCTTTCTTACTTTAACCCCCACCCGCCTCAAGAGGATTGCGGAAAAATTAGCAGCTCCGGCTGGATTAAAACGAAGGTTCTAGATTAGTTCCTGAACTACGTGCTTTTCTTTAGAATTCATATTACGTGCACTTTTACCCCGAGTCCGAGTACAGTGCTCGTTAATTCGATCGTCGAGTACTGCGCAGTACTTTTCATGAGAAAATTCTGTATAATCTAAGCTCTTGAATAGCATCCACTCGCTGAACGAATTCGAAGCTTACAGGAAGTAAAACTTGACATTCGAAAAAGTCCTTAATTCAGATCCCAGCACGAACCTTACGCAAACGAGCTTTATAAGTTGAACATAGAAAGGGATAGGACAAACCTTTTTACACAATCGAAAGAAATTCACGAATTTCACTCTTCGATTTAACATAGTTTTCGCTGGTCCTTTCAAGAAATACAGCAACGACGAAGCGAGCTAGAGAACTAGGAAAAATAGAGAAGAGTACTTTTCCCTGCAGGAAATCAATCTCGCATACTCAGTATCACGCATTCGGAAAAAAGCAGATGTGATTTATCATTTTAAAATTATAATTCAGAGAAATGTCATTCGATTGCATGATACCGCATCAACACCGACGCTACCGCAAAAACTGGCTGATTCGCCAGAACAACAATAACTTTCAAATATTTCGTCGCTAAAAATTTACAGTATCGTGATCAACATTCAAAAACCGTGAAATACAAGAGAAAACAAGAGATTGAAAAAGAGTTTGATCCCAAAAAAAGAAAAAAATCACTTGTTTTCGGTTGCTCTTCAGTTCACCCTCGCCGAATTATGTCTGGGTACAGCTCTCCTAACGCAGATCAGAGATTAGACACAGGGATAGTCAAGAACGAACAGCCATTACGCATTATTAAAAAAAAGTATCATTTATACAAAATTGAGGGATTTATACAAGCATTATTTGTTTTTCGTAGAATTCATTTTTAGAAAGCACTTGAAATCTACCTTCGATCGACGGTTCGTTTGATGCCCTGGCCGGACGGAAGGATTATGGTTAGGTCCATACGCCCTTCCAAGAGATCCGCCGTGGCTTCCGTATCATCACCACGAACGTCGTTCATGTACGATGACGACTTGACCACCTTTTTGTTACTCGCGCCAGCCCGAGGCATCCCTTTCATGAACACAATTTTCATTTTCACTCACTCACGAATCAACAGAAAATCGATAAACTGCATCCTAGAGAAACACAGGATCGCAATCATGGTCATATGAAGTTCGTCATGATTAGATTCTCGCACAGTTCTAACAATGATTTCAATCCCGGTTATTCAAATTGATTCGCTAAAAATATAAAACTAATTCATGAGTGAGCACTTATTCCTAAGCGGTTAGTTACATGTGCCATCCTACTTTTTTTCATCAACTGGCTCCGCAGAATATGCAGTATTACTGTATTTTACAATCAGTTCCCAAACAATTTTTCAGCGCGGTCACTCTGTCATCAATGAAATGAATCGTTCAGACCATCTTGAGCTCCGATATTTAATTGTCGCTCCTTCCATAGATTTCACGAACACGAACTAGTCGGTAACGAAATGACCAAGATTCCATGCAGAATTTCAGCTGAACATCCTCAGTATCAGAAAAACTACATAACGAAACACCAAACTTAAGCATCCTGGTATGAACGACACGCGATAAATCGTGTACACACGGAAATTTCAACAAGCTCTCATCATCACAGTACACCGCGGTACGACAACGACACCGTAAAAAGCAATTGGAACAAGCGACAAAAACGTTAGATGGCAAGTCTCGCCCACGACTGAACTGCCGGGAGTTCCGATCACCACCGGCGTTCGTCACACGCAGGTGTCACGACGAGAAACAAAACAAACTTGTCCGTCAGTCTGCAGCGGCTCCCGGGAGGGAAAGACGGAAGGTTCAGACAAAGCAACTTGCTCGAACCTTCGTGGGAGAATTGAACGGACTTCGAAACGGAACATATTGACGATGCGCTCATACCTACAAACTGACATGTAGATGTCGCTTCCTCGCTCGGCAACATATCGGGAATTGACAGTACTTGGAATTTTCGAATTTTTTCACATTACGACCAACCAACGCGAATTTACTACACTGTTTTGAAGATGCCTTCGTTCCTCTTCCACAAATGGAGCAAATAAAGAAAGAAATAAGGTGCGCAAACCATCCATCAAGTCCGAGGACGCCTAGGAATTAAAATTTTGCCACACACTGTAAGAATTTAAATTAGTAGCCCCTCAGTACTGTAACCAGAAACAGGTTTGTGAAAAGTTTACCACCAAACTTTTGCCGAGAGTCACGTTGAATTCATACATTTTTCAGATCTCATCTCGTTCCTACAAAAAAAGCCATCTGAATTGTAGTCCAGCAAATAAACCGTAAAAAAAACTTGCTCGCAGGATCAGAAAGATAAGTCTTCCACACGGCGCCAATTTCCACTCGAAGCATCTTCATTTCGCACAGCGGTTTCATCTCCTTCACACAGCATTTCTTCTCTGCCTGATACTTCCGGTGATGATGAAACATGAAAGGAAATGCTCGACAAAGATTCTGATACTTGAAAACATGGTTTTTTGGAACTGCTCTCTCCGATATTGCTGCTGTGAGAGATGGCTGGCGACGAAACTTGATGGTGTTCTCTCTCCTGTGGTCTGTTGAGAAGAGAAAAAACTTAATTTGAATGATTTATCTTCATAAAATAGTTAAAACTTTGCTTTTGTCATGGAAATTACTTGCGAGATAATTTCAGGTTCAATGTCATTACGAATTAGAAATACTGTACTGTACTGGATGCTCAACAATTTCGGTCGAACGTGCACAAAATCGCCCTCGTCCCGTTGAAATACCATTTTATTTGGCTTTGAAAAGCAAAAGGATCAGCAATAATATTTTTTTCCTGGCTCATTTTTACAAAATGGGTCAAGTTTCAAGCAGAAATAGACCAAGAAATGGTCTACAGTTACACAAACTGTAAATCAGGGCATTCCCTGATTCAGATGACGCACGTTATTCTTCTCCCATAGGCGTACTTTTGTGCAGTAAGGTTATCCGAGAAGAGGTAGATTGGCAATGTTGATAAGTGATGGAAAAAAAGTAACTGAAGTTTCGAAAGTACTGTAGTACAGCCTATAAAAAATTCCAAGCTCTGCGTACCATATTTACTGATAATCCATTCCCAACGCGCTAATAGGTTCCAAGGTGAAGTAAAAATGTTTATTCATTTTATCTTCATCATTTACTATAAAAACTGAAACCTACAACTCCGGACAAAAATATACGGACTTAAAATTACCATATAGCTTTAACCAAAATACGCAACCTAAAATTAAAAAAGGAATGAATGTGCAATTTTAAGGCGTGTCAATAAGGTAACATTTATCAAGATCGAAAAATATTTCAGGAAATCGAAGTTTTTCCAAATATTGCTGCTTGAGAATCAGTTCAAAAGTTTCTACCGATTTTTGCACGATAAATTTACTTCAATTTTCGGAAACCTGGACAACTGAATGATGAAATCAGATACTCATGATGAATCAAAATATACTCACGCATCTTCAACACCCTGAAATAAAGCAGGTCTGCTCCGCGGGGATTTCGAAGAAGATTTCTCCTTTCTCAATATTAAATCCTCTTTATACGGGCGGAGAGTTTTATTAAAGACTTGGAAATACCCTTCAGACGTCACTTCTGAAGAACTCAGTAACGGGAAAAATGCGTCGATTGCAGCAACTCTACAAAACAATGTAGAGAAAATTATTAGACTAAAGTTCAGATATGAACATGAAATTGGGATTTCGAATCTGTATTTTCTTCATTATCATTTCACGAACATTTCGGTCATATACGAACAGCGCATATTAGACGTATTTCGTGGAAACTCACAATTGTTCGGCGTGCGCCGGTTGGATGTTCCCAGTGTCTTTCTTCAGCACAGTGAAAATTGACAATACCGCGAATGCGTTCAACTGATCTCCGGATCCCATTTGGAGCTTTTTTGCGGTGGAAGAAATCAGCATGTAGTGTAAAATGTGCCGAATCAATGACGTCAAATCTGTCAGTGGGCCCTTCGCTCCAAGCAAATAACTCACGTAATCCTGAAAATAAACATTGCAATAAGCCCTTCATAATATAATGTTGAATTTCGTTTCGTAACGGCGTAATAAATTTGTATGCCGAAGATTTACTTATTTGATATTTTAAAATTGTCTCACTTGAAAGCAAAACGCAGGGAACAGGGAGAGAACGTAACAGAAATCACTTAAGGATTACTGTGCAACACTTTTTTCCCCAGCAGAATCTTCTTCCAGTTTTAACAGCAGAATCTTCTTCCAGTTTTAACAGCATAATTCTTCGATTCCAAAAACTTTGATTAAGCACAGGAGAATATAATTTTTTAACCTAATTTTCATATGAAAAAGATTGAACACAAAGGAGAATCCTGTTGGATATACAGTAGCAGAAGTATTCCTTTTTGAAGCGCAAAGAAAGCACTGAATCATTTCCTCAAATCTCATTTCTGCGAGCGCAATGATCAATTAAGCATTATTATGGCTTGCAATTACAGCGGTGTCCAAATATACTGGTTATTTGATAAATTACGTTTCACCATAGAAAGAAAAGGAGTTTGATAATTTTAAAAACTTGCAAGTACTGGATCAAGCGCAACTTCTTCTGAATAATCAGTGCAGAAAAATGTGGCTCGCACATGGAAAGCATGCAGGAATAAATTATTTTGGGGAAAAATTCATGATCATTTGCGATGGACATGTGAGTCATTGTAAGTGGAAGGATTGTTCGGTGATATGTCTCCTGTTAAAATGATGATCTTCATTTAGTTCATTACACGTTATATTGTTCAAAAATAATTTTGAAAAAGTTTGATTTTTAGACAACAAAATCTGAAGCAGGGGTGCAGTTCATCATCTTTCTTGCGCGTGGATAAGCGTTTTTTTTTATGAATTCCTCACACAAAAATTGAGTTTTGCATCTTTTTGAGAGTGCGTCGTAATCGAGTGAATACGTATAAATACAGTATTAGAAGCAACATTAAGGCAAATAACAGTTGAGCGTACCAGGAATTTATGCGGAATAGCCCCTCTTCCGCCACTATTGCCGCCGAGAAGAACCTCGTCCAAGATTCTATCTTCCGGCTGACGATCGTAAAAATAATCGTAACGATTCCACACTGAGTCAACAACAGCTTCCAAATGCATTGCTTGCAAGGATTCATTGGCGGCTGCTTCCACGGCAAACTGCTGCAGCTCGTCAAGCAGCACCTCCATCACGGGGGGTCGTCGTTTCAGCCATTCCAGCCGGGAGTAAATCAGAACCAGGTCGGACTTTTCCATACACAGGTTCCTTACTAAAGTCATCCAGTATTCAAGAGCTTTCGCGCCCAGTTCGTCTCGAAGCGTTCCTGCATTATGAAACACACGCATTTTTATGATTCACAAAAACAGTTTGTATCTATACTCAGGAGAGCATTAACTTTTTTTTTATCCGCAGTCTGTATATACAGTACAATACTGTATTTTCATTTGTAGAGTGAAAAACTATGCAATGCGGATCCTCACCCCCCCCCCCCCCCCCCCCCCCC